AAAATCAAGGACCTCCTGCCAAAGGTTTTGGGAGGACATCGTCTTCAGCATTATCATTACAGTAGTAATATACCCTTGTAGCAATCTGCAATCACCCACTACTGAGTATGGGTCTCCATCTGATGAGGGATGAATTAGAGCATAATTAACCACGATGCTCTAGTGCGGGTTGATGTCTGTTACATACGAATATTGCAGACAAATCTGTCGCAAAGTGGATAGCGGATCTTATAAAGAATGTGCCTAAATAAGTAACTCATTAATAACATAATAACACTAAACAAAGGCGGACCAACGCGCGTTAGGTTAGATAACGGTAGCCTGCGGGAATACTGTCCGTATAATTACTTTTATCTGCGGATATCTCTTTAGAACTCGATTGGGTCATAATAAATGAAACTATGGGCAGTGATCATGACATGATACAAACATCTTCCCACATATATTAAGACCTTACCCTAAGGAGATCTTTTTCCGTCTGTAACCATGATGCTAATTTGTCTCGCCACCCTAACTTTACAAACCACTTACGAGGTGACAATCATTGGCTTGTCTAATAGTCATGCCTGAAGATCCGCTTTCCATAACGATTGGAACCCCCATCTGGTGCTACCAACAGGAAGGTACCCCTCGACTTTTTGAGAAGTGTTGATAGTTTCACTCTCTTGAAAAGGCGTCTACGAATATTGTGAAAGAGTCTCGTCAATCTATTGTTATATAGTCTGATGTTTCAGTAAATCTTTCTGATGCAAAAAGGTCTATGTCTGGTTTTCCTCGTCATTTTAACACCTCTGATATTGCCTGAGGTTTTAAATGCCATTCCCATACAGGACGTCTCCGCGATAGTCTGTCTGCTATCTCATTGTATCTGCTGGAGGCTGAAAATATTATGTTCCACTTATCTATGGTCTTCAGGAGTTAAAATGTTAGGTGTCTTCTTAGCTGCATGTTCATTAACCACAAACTAATATGATGCTTACGTCATTAAAATTTACTCATGTGAGCTATGAAACCGGGACTACGAGTATCACAATCTTAATATATCTGAAAATGTGAAAGCTATATTAATATACGATAAACGGTATTATAAGTTTTATTAAAATAAAACAGTAAAATAGCAGTTTACATACGTCTCACGACTGTGCACATGGCTCCTCATTACCTGTAGAATTTTATGTGCAGGAAAAAGACCACCGCAACGCTTCAATGTGTATTAGCAGTTGTCATGTTTTAACGATTTTTTTAACCACTAATAGGCTTCCCCATGAAACTATTCTTAACCACTTCATAGAACACATGATAAATCAGCACATAAAATTTCCTATACCAGTTTTATTGGTCCTTGAGGGAATCGGACACGTATTACTCCAGTGCCATAAAATCCTACAAGCTACTCAGCTCTCGTATTTGTTTAAATATAATTCATAAAACTGAAAACGCTCATCGCTCCTGAACCATCTGCATCTATCGACTTCCTGAATATCTTACCACGAACTATTTCATCAAATAGAGATAAAAACCTCACAGTGCACTTAACTTTCATTTACTTACATCAGATAACTTGATAACAAATAAAATTACTGAAATTGTTCCTTTAGGTACCGATTGACACTCCATTGATATAACTAAAGAGTTTCTCTCTTGATCACATAATCTTTATGTATAAAAAATACGTGTCACATTGTTTGTCCGCGATGAATTCCTAAACTACTGAACTGATTTCAATGAAATTTTGCACACTGTATGCAGTTTAGTCCAACTTGAGAGATAGGATAGATTTTTAATCTGAAGGTAGCCGTGGTTAACTACGACAGTGGGACGTCATACACCTCAGTCCCCCCCGTGACTATGGGTGCTGAAAAGTGCCCGAAACGTCGGGTATATAAAATAAGTTAATATACGCGATAAAATCCGTAAAATTAGTTTTATTTAAATGTGTAGTGTTCGCGTAAATATAAGAAATCATTAGATAGGATAACTTTTATCCCAATAAGTGACCATCATTTTTTTTATTTTAGGAGTTTTTTTAGGCAGGCAAATGATCGTCGGAAAGGGCAGAACAACGTCTGCCTGGCCAGTTAGTATAATATATTTTAGAAGACAGTATAACCGCTTAGTCGTTTTGCTATAACAGTAGTCGTTAGAAATCTTTACGGGCCACCGGTCTGGATATTTTAAGTCTGAAAATTTTCAATGTTGCAAGAATAAGTATTCAATAAACATTTTTTTTTAATTTTAGCATTTACAAATTATTAGTTTTTTATCAGTTAGTAGACGCTAGTATTAGATTAAGAGTATGAAAGCCAAAACTGTATCTAGTAATATCAGCGATAGTAAATTGTGGTGTGACTGGGGTGGCCCAATCGTACAACATAGCTACGAAACTTCATATATCATATCTATATAAATTAGGCATAAAATAATGTAAATTCTGTTAAAATTTCTTAAAATTCTGTTTGTGTTAAAAATGCGTAATTACCGCGACTAGCGGTGAATATTTAAATTATTTAACGATATAACCATATTATGAAATAATAATGTTAGTTTTTAATATCGTCAAACGATCGAAACGAGTTATAGCATATGTAATACGATTTATAAATAAATGTAAAATAAAATCACTTGAGTCTTTACGTAGAAGGTAGATTAAATCACTCATTTTGTAACTACAACATAAAACATCGTATTCTCTTATCTAGTTCTCACATTATTTGCAACTATTATTTAACATGTATCACCTAAGACTCGTGCGTCAACCACAATACATGCTACAATTCGCCACCACTATTATCCTATCAGTGTAAGAAATTTGGCCAAAAATATTACATATCAATAAGTAAAAGTTTTTTTTTATATAGATGAGGGGCAAATGAGCATGCGGCTCACCTGATGATAAGTGTCGACCTCCACCCATAAACAACTGCAACACCAGGAGGAGAATCGCAGGTGCGTTGCCAGTCTTTTGAAAAAGAGTAGGCTCTTTTCTTGAAGGTCCCTAAATCGAATCCATAAGTTGCAGAATGAAAGCTAACACTATTCAGCCGCATGTATGCGCAAGCGCGCACTGATAGCTTCGAGACGGTGTTGCGCAAACGGGTCGCCTCGCATATGCGCAGAATACGTGGTAGCTCCAACACCATACTGAGGGCTATTAGTGACAAACCAGATTGTCCTATTATATGTAGGTTACTGGGTGAATATTCATGTGCACAAACCTAGTGCCTCAGGTAGGCCTGATTTGTACTTAAATTAATCATTCGTATCTGCACCTAATTATTACTAACATAGCTATAACTTCCTTTTTATGTAACAATTATGAATGGTTGTCCAAAATAAAGAGATTTTATTTATTTATCATGGGTAGCCTTCCAGAGCAACGGCTGTATTTATAATTTCCCTTTTTAGACACAGGTTTAAACTACTCCGGCTTAATCATCATAGCTCATCGTAAAGGTGGGGGGTGTATGTGTATTTGTGTGCTTGGTTAGGAGAGCCGTTGACCTCGAACTTTCGACCGATCACACGAAAACTACTATGCATAGTTTTATTGCGCGAAGGGGAAAGCCACACAATGTATTCTCCAATAATGGCACAACATTTGTCGGCGCATTCAATGAGTTGGCTGCTCTTCTTTCACTTAAATTATTTAGGTTCTAGAATAACTTTTTCCTTTATTCCTGCATACGCACCACATTTTGGCGACTTAAGGGCATCCGCAGTTAACTCCACTAAGCACCATCTTAAATATGTCTTGGTCTGAACTAATCTAACGTTTGAGGAGATGGCTACATGTTTGCTACAATTTTTTGGTTCCTTTTTCTCACGAATATATTATATGGCTTAAAAAGTGAACCAAATGATGCCGTTCTTCAGGCGAACTCAAAAAAGGAACGTAAGTCGTGATAAAACATAAAAATTCACCATCTTTTAATGTGGCTTCTAGGACGAATGATTCAGGTGTTAGCCGGCAGTAATGGCATTGCAAGGGTTGGCAACATCCATACACGCAAGAGTGTCTTTCGGCTGGTTTACAACATAACCTTTTTTTTTATAGGATAATGTGACAAACGAGCATACAGTCCACCTGATGATAAGTGGTTGCTGTGACCCATAGACATCTACATCTATCCTCAATAAAGAATCAAAATGCCGATGCGTTGTCACCCGTGTGGACTAAGATCAAATGCCTCTTTTCGAGTAAAAAGGGTATCCGGTTCTCTACACTCACCATACTAAACACAGCAGTGTTAATCTGCTATTTTACGCTGGTATTTTGTGAGAGCGTGATCCTTCCCCGGTCGAACCGACCCATTTGTGCTACAACTATATTACTAATATAACTGCAGCATGGCTCTACCACGTATAAAACCTGTCCTCTTCCAGTCACTGCTGTTGAAGATACTTCAATCGGGGGATTATGTTGAGTCATCCAACTCAGCACAATATCCGAGGCGCAGGGCTCGAGGAGCATCACGGCATGTAGACCGCTCGCTTTCGGACCAGCCGTTGCAACGCAGGTAGCAAGCAGTGAGTCAGCCACTACGCCCATCATCAACGCATCATCATCGCACAAGCGCTCGGCATCTCATCATTAATTCAGTTTTTGTTCCTCAGTTTTTAAGACAACCGTTTACAAGTTTTTAATATATCATATATACAGTCCACTACAGTGCATCATTTAACCAACCGAGCAACGAAGTCTACAATAGTTATATTCTTTTATCTTTCTATAACAGCGTTCAAAAGCTTAAAAATGTCACAAGGCTTTGTTTAAGGTTTAAAAGTGGCTGAAGCATAAGCCTCTGATGCTGCGTATCTGAGTTTTGTGTCTGAGTGTTGTTTATCATCAGCTTATATGTGAAAACACCGATACAACACAGATGAAAATATGACAGTCTTAGTGTAAGGAAACTTACAATAAATAAAAGATGCATCAACTTGATATTTACAAATACTATTTATTCAATAAAATAAATGAAAGCTACTTACTACTACTGATATTACTTTAATTTCTTTTCGCTTCTTACTATACGCTCATTGGCTAGCAAATATTTTAATTTTCTTTTAATTATTATAACCAAAAATATAAACGTAAGAAAAACAAACACTATAAATGCGTAAACATCAATCATTAAGTAAGCAAACCAATTTAAATCTGCTGCGGGGTTTTTCATACTTTCTGAATTATTATTTCGTATAGTGTACTCTAACCAAAACATGGCTGTATCTAGAGGTGTCAGGGGTCTGTCTTTAAATTTTTTGGAAATTTCTAAAGCTTTTTGTTTATAGGTATCATTATTTAAAACTTCTAATAGAACGTTTTCCAAACCCTTTTCATTGATGTGATTATACCGCAGAATTTTCCCGAACCCCTTTTCTTCAACTTGTAAAAGATTATTATACTGATCCGCATAAATCGGAATACCAATAATTGGAACTGCATTAAAAATAGCTTCCTGTGTTCCAATCAATCCACCGTGAGAAATAAATACTTTAATGTTTGGATGAGCTGAAATAAAATAAAACTAGATTGTTTGCTTGTTTTAATTCCAGAACCTTATATAATATTATATGGCTGCAAATACTGTTTGAGATAATCATCATAGTCGTGAAATAATATCAAAAATATCCAAAAGTACTGTAATATATATATATATATATAATTATTGTGAATAATTAATTTCGTAACACTTCTTCCCAAATAAAACGGAAACGTTAAAGTTAAATGATATATGTCGGTGGCCATAAGGTGCCGCAGATTTTAAAGAATACTAATATTTTATTACACAAATTTATTTTGTATATAGGATATACTAAAAGGATGCAAACGAAAACCGTAAACGCATAACCTCATGGAAAATCTTAATATAATATCTATACAAACATATACAAATAAATAAAATTGAAGTGTCTGTTTGTAATGTCGAAAAACAGCTTTTTACTATGTGTATATGAAAATATATACGGTTAAAATTTTTGTCTGTCTGTCTCTCTGCCTGTCTGTCTGTTTTTCCGGCTAATCTCCGAAACGGCTGGACCGATTTTGACCGGACTTTCACTGGCAGATAACTAATGTTATAAGAAGTAACTTAGGCTACTTTTATTTTAGAAAAAGAATTAGGGTTCCGCGCAAAAAATTAAAACCCATGAAATCCAATCGTAAGAAATTACGAGCGGGCGAAGTCGCGGGGAACAGCTAGTTTATAAATATATTACGTAAAATGAAAATTGGAATCAATTCTATTACTTACCAAGGATTTCCTTTTGGGGCATCCATTTCCTAATTTCTAAATTTGGAGGTTTATTTTCCAAATGGTCGTCTTCCCATTTCCACAGTACAGTTTGATTTATCCGCCTGAACACACTGAGAAATGCATTTTTCTTGTCAATCGGTAATTCGGAACTTCTCACGTTAGAACCAAAATTCATGTACACAACGCCGTCTTTGCTATGATCTAAGAAGGTTTTTAAGTCCTAAAATATATTAAAAATTATATAATGTATTTTTAAATACATATATTCCTTTTTTATTTGTACATTAATAGAAACCAAACGTGTTTGTTGTTTTTCCTGTTACTACGAAATCAAACAAAAAATAGTAGTTCAAGGATTAGATTCATCTACCAAACGCTTAAAATATAAATAGATATATAATAATTAAACGTTATTGATTCTAATGAACTACTGAATAAATAATCATGTAAACATTTACTAGAAATACTCATTGTTTATAATTGATGTAAATATCATCATGACTTTAAAAGAAATAGTAAATCACAATGTGATGTTGAAAAATGGCCAAACAAAAAAAAAACTGTACTTGATTTGATAAAACAATACTCACTAAAGATGCTAGCTTTATAATTAGCTGAATATTCACGTTAACAAACGTTAGATCATTTAAGTAATCGCTTATGTGTTGCGTAATGTTATATCAATGTTTTTATATACATACTTAAAATCTCATTCACACATAAAAACATAAAATATGACTTGATTTCATCACCGTCATCGATCCATAAGCAGTTTACCCTCTCGTCATAACTCTGGATATTTTAGTTACCTTTAGACGATTTTCTACTTTTTATGTGTACCTCATAAATTTTTCCTATGTGAACCGATTTCGAGGATTCTTTTTTTATTTGAAATTTGGAGCTTTTCATGTGGTCCTATATAAATTTGATCAAGGTGTGACCAATAGTTTTTGAGTTATCCTTAAATATTTATATTGAAGTCGGTTGTACAAAATTTTAATTTATTACGATACGATTTTACTTCATAGATCCACGCTGCAACTCTATTATGGCTACACTACAAACGATACAGTCCGAAAAGAAACACGCTGTCACAATACCAACTCAAAATAAAGGCATACTAGTCGTAGTTGTAGGTTTCCTATGGTTGTGTGAATGAGTCATGGAACGTTTTTACTGGTAGTAAGACATTCTTAATGATTAGATGTTTTTTTTTTGTGTATAATACGTGCATGTAAAAGATAAGGTAAGGGATTTTTATACGACGCCACCACAAGAGAAAATATTTTTGTTGTGTTCACTCACCTGTGGGAGCTCTCCATCGCTCCTTGTCAAATGTAATCCACCGATCTCTACTATATTTGGAAGATATGCAGCAGGAGTATCAAAACTAAAGTGGGAATTAATAAGCATCAAAGAAGCCTGTCTCTGCATCTCATATAAACTTGGAACAGGCTCGGCTAGATTTTTCATATATTTTTGTACCAGTTGTTCTTGTTTCTCCATATACCAATATTTCCACCAAATAAACTCATAGACGGTAAAATAAAAATTTCTTAACCTACCCCAAAAGCTAGTAGGGTCTGTTATATCTAAAAATTCTGGGATGACTGTTGCCAGCTGCAATGGATTCCGTATTACAATGTTATGTCGCATACAATTCCCAAACGTTGTTACAAGAGCCAATGGTGCTTTGTATTTGTGAGCTAGAATATAGGTAGCTTCTTGAAAGAATTGCTCGCAAATCACCAGATCGAACTTTTGATCAATAGCTAAAAATCGTTTAACTTGAGATGAATTTAATGCCATTTCTGTAACGGCTAAGCCACCGGCCCATAAAATCTTATCATGGAATTGTTCGGCTGACATGCTAGCCATTGTAAAAACATTTGGCCTTCCGCCTCCTACAAATTTGTCAAAAATATTAAATGAGTAAACATTTACATAACCTTAGATTGCATTAAAATAGTCTTATTAATAATAAAATTAACAATTCTACTCTAATTTCTTAAGAAATTATATGAAGGAATGGGATAAAACCCATCCGTATATGCAACTCTTGTAAGCATTGTTAATGGCCATTTTTTTAAAACTTAACCTAAACATATAGTCCAAGAGGCAGAGCCAAAAAAGTCTGAATTTATTAACACGTTCGCTGCGGTACAAGGCTTATAGGCCTGATACATGAACTTGCAGTCGGTGCGGAGCGAAAATACAGCGTTCTCCCTCTGGTGCGAACGCAGTAACTTAAAGATTTCTCTATAAGTGATAAAGACAAGTATATATTTAAGATCGTCTTTTCAATGGCTATTCATTTAAATAATAATATTTGTATCAGGCCTATCGACCTTATACCGCACTGGAGAGTAGAAATTGACATTCAGTGCGGATACAAGGCCCATAGGCCTTATGGGAAGTACAACGCCTAACTGCCTAATACCGCACTGATTGAAGAGTTAAAATTAATTAGTGTTGTGTTGACAGCTTTTACAAATGCATGTGCGTACGATTCATAAAAAATGCATCGAGTCAATAAACGTTGTCGAAAAATGCTCGAGCTGTCTTTTCAAAATGCTCAAGAAGTGGTGGACCAAAATAACAGTGCCAGCTTACAAGAAAAAAAATAAATTCAAATCCTTCAGGATGTTATTGTTAAGTCAGCTTCTACAAGCAGTGAAACTACAACTTTTCAAGAACCTCGCTGCAGTTCATCTATTGCTTTTCAAGAACCTAGCTTCAGTTCAACTTTACACGATAGCTCAATGCGGGTAAGTCCTCAAGTTAGAAAGACTTATTTAGACTTTACGCCTAAAAGAAAGAAAATACAAAAATCAGAAAACGATGTTTATGTTAGTCCTAGTACTGGCAATACTCTTCATGTACTGGAAAACGCTGAATACGGACTTGCAACTCCTATCCGCAAATATTATAATTTACGAAAAGAAACCCCAGTAACTCCGAACGTATCAAATCTTACAAGCAGGACTAGTTCTATTAGTGACATTTCATGTGCAAAATCCTTATTATGCCCACTATCCAACGAGGAAATCTGTGCAATATATGACACCCAAACGCAGAATAATCAATCAATAAGCTTCGTGCAACGTTAAATAGCAAAGATGCTCAAAGAAAAACCAAAAAAATTAAATCGTATTGTGCTGAGTGCAACAAGGGATATTGCGCTAAATGTTTTTACGAAAATCATCTATAACAGATAACAGTTAATAATAAAATAAAGTTGATCTCGATATTTCTGTACTTATGTTATTTCCCATCACTAAAATTATCCCAATTATACCATTACCTAGGTGCGGTAATGGGTCGATAAGCCTTATGTTTGTTTTTCTGTATATTTTCTAAATAAGTCATCGGAGCAATTTGCGACGCTAGTATAAGATAGGCTTACATTTTCTCAATAACCTAGTTAAAAAAAATATTCAATATCAAAAGTTTTCGCAGAGTTATTAGAGTTTGAAGTGACCCATATCTTACCAGGTTTATTGACCCATTGACGCACCGGTGAAAAGTTTAGGTATAAGGCCTATAGACCTGGTAACGCACTGGGGGAATAATGTCTCAAATAGTTGCCGCAGCGAACGTGTTAAGCCTGTTTTTTTCTTAGGTGATTATAATCATAATTTACAATAAAATGACGTCAGTGACTACGGTCAGTCAATCGGATATTAGAACAGGTTTCTTAATAAATTCAGAGACTTTTTTGGCTCTGCCTCTCCGTCTAATACTTTGACTTGAAATCGCTTACGATGACTTTTACAATGACTGATGCATTAGACTATACAAATGTAAAGGAGACTGATACGCTTTCACACATTTTTGGGCCCAGACTGTAAAAAGGTGAATGTTGTGTCAATTAATAGGTTATATATTATCAAAACATCACTGAAAATTCTGCGAACTTTGGCAATCTGAGAGCAGAGTTATAAGACATTTAGTAAAAGTGAGGTAATGCAACAAGTTGGCAACAACCTATACTAAGCAGCTGATTTTTGAAGAGCGATTGCTATTTTGCAAGGATTGTGGGCCTAGTGTATTACAGCGACTAGTCGCTGTGCCACAATTCCCACAGCGATCCATTGAGTCAATATCTAATCGATAAAATCCAGGCCGTAAAATCGACAATAACGAGCCAAAGTCAAACGAGTAAACGAGATTATCGGTGTTCAGTATGATAGCAAGAGTCGTACAAGTTAATTAAGATCACAAGTCCGTAGAATGAAAGCGGTGGTCGAGGAATATAAATCAATAAAACAACGGGAAACACACTCAAAACGCACACTTACTAAATGATATGAGATATATACAATATCTATGGATACGAGAAGAGTGTAGATTGAGTCAGGCAGAAGCTGTCACTATCAGTATAGATTAAAAAACCAACTGACCAACCAAAAGTAATAAATCAAACTGTGAAGGTGAATCGATTTTAAGATTTATTTTTACTATGTGGATATTTTATTTTTTTAAACTGTTGACACTATGTTAATATATTGTGATGTATCTATTTACTTGATAGAATTAATCATCTGGTGTAAGTTGTTTTTTATGTTTAATTGTTAAATGTCATTCACATTGTTCGATTAAAGTAATCTATTTCTTATTTTATTCGTGACATAAACTTATTTTGAAAATTTCTCGTCTTGCAGATTGTGAATAGGGCAATTTTTTTTATATTTTGAAATAAAAAAATATAACGCTTTTTTTAAACTAAATTATAACTTATTACAATTGGGCCCAAAAATCCCCGTCTCCTTTATTAGTTTTTTTTTTAAATAAATTATAACTGACTACATACCGATTACATCCCAAATTTTTTTATCGTCCACCATTATCTCGTGATAGTTTTTAGGAGGATTCTTTTCCTTATGGGCAGTGATAACAGTTACATTATGTCCTCTTTCAGCCAGTTCTAGACCGATAGGCCTAAGCATAATATAGTGTGATGTAGATGTAAAAGGCACTACATATAGTATGTTAGCAGTTTTGCATGTTATAAATAAACAGGGCAATAACAGTATTGATCTTAAAAAATCCTAAAAATGAATATTTCTTTAGAAAAGTGCAATATTAACTTGATTATATATGTATTCTTATGTAAATATACACCGACTCACCATTTTTCTTGGCACTTCTGGATTATTCCGTGAGTATTTTCTAAATCTTCTGAACTCACTGGAATCTAAAACTACACTAACTATCAGTCAGGGGTCAGCGCAAAAAACTTGCTACATCATATGACGCGACAAAACACTGTACCAATGTACATTGAAATCGTTATGTTATTAATATTAATTATTGGCTTAGAATATTTACCGATAAAGCTTCCTATAAACTCTTATTATGTAAGTACAATGTGTATTTGCTTTGAAGAATAAATTATTTTAATTAACCGGAATATTATTATAACAAGGGAAAAAAATGGGCTGTTATGATCTAATTAATATGTAATTGATAAATATTTCATATATAAATAATATATTTTTCTAAATGTACTCATTAATATCTTTCATATTTAGTATACCATACATATGCTTATATGCTTTTATATTGTTTCATGGCGTAAAGAGTTCACGGCGGTGAATGAAAACATCGCGAGAAACCTGCATGTCAAGGAATCAAATATTTTGAGAACATGTGTCCGTGTTCCGTGAACACGCACTGGCGCAGTGCGTTGAACTTTTGTCCCAATACGCTATCGGAAATGAAAGGAGGTCTGAGCCCAGCAGTACCACGTATATAGCCTGTAAATGTAACTATACTTATTGAAGTATTACGTACTTACGTACATCGTACAAATCAATCACTCTACTTTATTTTATATAATAACCTTACACGAAAGTACTTACTCGTCCTTACCTACCGTTACGTATTGTTGTACCTACGGCTAGGTGTACAAGACGCAGAAACAATATGCAATAGCTAAACAATGATACCCTAAATCTAATTATATTAATATTTTTGCTCAAATGGCTATAACTGGCACTCGAACCTGGGCTGGGAATTGCAACTAATGATTTTTTAAATAAAAAACGTATTATAATCTTTCGAATATAAAAACTAAAAATTAATTTCATATGGTTTTCTAGAAATTGCGGTAAAGCTATAAATTTAATAGTATTTGAGAAATTTAACTAAACAATATTGTCTCAGGTTAAAGTACTTAATTTTTAGACGCACATCTGCGCTTTTTTATATAAATTTACATGAAGAAAAAAGTAAAACAAAATATATTAAACATTATTTGCAGCTGCCCCCGACACGGTTCGCATGGATATTAGGCCATAAACCTTAACAGGAAATATTGTGAGAGTATTTGCGTGTAAACTAAATAACAAATACAAAACGCCCCTTTAGAGTATTCCAACGCTGTGATAATCTCATGAAGCAAAATTCTTGCATAAGTCTTAACTAATGTTATAGAGAGAAAAGATTTGATTGATTGTATGTTGTTTTGTAATGGATAAACTCAAAACATTACATTATCAGCGAGTAACATAGGTTGTATTTTATTTTTATAAAAATTATAAATCACTACGATAATTGCTATTATGTAATCCAAGGTATCAAAAACTTGCATATAAAAGTCATTATTTGGCTTCCATAAGGAATTTTCTTCTCCCTTGCACACTATGTTGGTCACTGATCTCTATATACCTAAGTCTATAACAATTAGTTCTTACATTTTTCCTGAAAGTACTCAAAACGTTGCACGCCTCACAAAGTGAGTTAGTGCTCTACTCTCGATATGTGACCATACCTCAATTTCGCTACATAAAATCGTTCTTTATACTCTTAGCTAGATATCAAATCCATATAATTGTTAACGTTACAATGATTACAGACATTGAATTATTAGTTTATTTTATAATTGATTCTTTAGGCTTTCGAAAGTTCTTCCAACTAAATCAGGTCTTTCAATAACTTCTATCCATAATTTGCATCTGAAGTTTTTAAGTACAATACTTATTAATAAATTTTCATAATTATCACCCCCAGAAACCTCAAAATTGACATCCATATTGCATTATTAAAAAAAATCCACCATCTTGGATATGGAAATTGATGCCGTTTTCGTAATTCGCACCCCAAGAAACCTCGAAATTGATACCCATATCATATTATTAAAAAATGTCCGCCATCTTTGAAATAAAAATGGATACCATTTTCGTAATCATCATCCCAATAAACCTTAAAATTGACATCCATATCATACATATATTAAAAAATGACCGCCATCTTGGATTTAAAAATAAATGCTACTATCGCATTAGCACCCCGACAAACCTAAAAATTTACCCCTATACCTAAGCCCTATACTCTATTCCAATTACGAAGTCCCATTTGACAGATGTCAATAATCAAGTACTAGTAAAGTACCGCTATAGTCGATACTTGACGATATTGATCTTCGATTACTATAACGAACAAATTAAAATCGTATTGACAGAAAAAGGATTAGCATCAAATTAAAATTTATAAAACTGTTTTTTAATTTTAATTAGATAATATTACATGATATTTTTATCAAGATGGAACATATTCATCATCACTAGCTGAAATCGATATTTCATGGTAGGCATCGTCGTCATCACACTCATCATCGTCTGTAGAATCCCCTGTATTTATTATAATTTGGTTATCTATGACGGCATCGATATGTATGTCTCTGTCCCAATCAGGGAAATTCAAGTTTTTTGTTCGTAAAACCACACTTTCCCAATTCGCAGCAGTAACACTATCACAAGCTTCTTGCAACAAAGACAGCATTTTGTTTGCAGTAAATGGTGGGCTGGTATTTTTAGGAGCCGTATAACCTAAAATAAAGGTTTGCGTGTTAATATAGCAACAGATAAAATGTTAAAATACGTAAAAATAAATTATAAAAAAGATTTGTTTAAATTCTTGCCTTTAATTTGCGCCCAAATCAATTCTATGACATTATATTGACAATGGTAGGGTGGAAGGCGCATTACACTGTGTCCGGCTTCCTTAGCCATTTCGTCCAATACGTATTTTGGTCTAGCTGGCTTCTTTATAGCAACCAAATGCAGCAGTTCAACTTTTAACATGGACATGTCAGCAACAATATTATTGTCATTCAGCCATTTCACAATATCGGCTTTTTTGCTGCTAGAAGTTGGAGGCTTACTTATTTGTACTGAATGATACGGTGCATTATCCATAATGATCGTCGATGGCTCATTCAAGTTGGTCAATAAGGTACAAAACCATTCCTTAAATTTAACAAAATTCATCTCTTCGTGGTATTCCACAGTTTTCTTAGATTTAAACACCAAGAGGCAGTTCGAAACAAATTCCTTCATGGAACCCGCATGACAAATAATTAAGCGTTCGCCTTTGCCACTAGGTACTTTTGTGGAGGAGTCAGGAGTGTCGTCTGTCCATATCTTGCCAACTGTATGATTAGCGTTTACCCACATCTCATCTAGAAATATAGCATTATTCCAAACGGCAAAGGACTTTGCTGATCTTAGAAAATTAAATCTGGCCAAAGCTATATCTCTACGTTCCATCAAAATCCGCCTTTTATCACATTTTTTCTAAGAAAAGCCAACATTTTTTAAAACCCTCCAGAAAGAAGTTCTACTGCCGTGAAACAGTCCAGATCCTCGTAAAGTATTTGACAATTTATCGAGAGTCGGCAATTCGTTCCTACTATAGTAACCATAGATATGGTTTCTAATGGCGTCGTTATCGAAATTGTCGATATGTGTAACTATCGATCTTCTAACTTTTTTCTTAAGTGGCGATTTTAATTTGTTATCTTCCATTAAATCTTTACCATGTTTTTCCTTACTTATTCGGGAAACAGTTTTTCGACTAATACCAAGAGCTGCACTTACTCGGTTAGTCATTTGCGAAAGTGGCAACAATGGAGCACCATTCTGATACTCTCTTTCAAAGTAATCTTGTAGGCGTACTACAAACTCTCGCGCTTGACTGCGCATCACTGTTCTTTTAGTGGTCTCAGTTTCAGCCATAGTGTTTATAAATACAAAAAAAAAACCAAATCAAATAACAGTCAAAACTTAATAACAACGAAAGAATTATCAAACAGTTAATAACGACAATAACAAGAACGAAATAAAAACACAACACAAAATCAACTAAACTGAACACGTGTATCGTATTACAAGGCTTCTGCACTCGTACTGAAGAGACAAACAAAATGGTGGTCGTGATCACGAGGTGGACGCAGTGTTGACAGATTTTCACTCGCGAAAAAATCTATCTATAATCGATTTTATACGATTCTTTTAGTCACGTCACTATGTAAAAAAGTAAAAATAAAACTATAGAACGTAAACGCAATACGGCAGTAAAATATTATTATCTTTTAAAAAACTTTTAATTATTTTGAGCACGATATCTAAAAACAATATGTTGATTGTGTGTGTGAATTAATTGTATAATGATTTAGATTGATTGTGTATTTTTAAATGATGATTTACGACCATGAACAAAAATGATTATTATTTCAAATTATGCGAAACGTGAAGAGTTACGTTCTAAGAAGTGTCAAAAGGGACTTCGTAATTGAAATAGAGTATAAATCATAATATTTTATAAAAGACTTCGAAAGACCGAAGACGAGGGACTATAGAATGGTCTAAACCCTTAGCCAGTCCAACCACACGATTTAGATGAAGAAAAAAAATCAAACTTCGAAACAGTAATGCGCAGTCACTAGTACCTATTTTTTACGTCCGCCATTTTTTTACGTTGGCAATTTGGCATGACATGACAAAATATACATAATGTAAAAAATAATAACAATATTTATTTACCTTTCTTCCGTGTGCGGGATTTGGCGAAATCGCAGATATTTATTTATGCGAGATGACGACTTGCAATCTCTCACAGCACACGTCATATGAACCATGTTAATTATAAGTATCAACACTAAATT